GGGAAGCAAAGGGCAGCATCTCAGAGTGCGCTGCGCAGTGACGTGGTTATCCCGCTCCACCTCAACTTTGTGTGCTTTGTTTGTGTGCCTTGGCCAGAGAGATTCAAAATGTGAGTCTGTAGCTGGGCCCGGTGTCCTCCTTGGTGCGCGTGGCATCACGGCTTGCCTGGAGCTACACCAGGTCTTCAGACACCCAAGAGTCTATTTGTGGCTTTGCTGTGGGCCAGGACACAACATTCACAGCCATGCAATTCTGCGGGTGAACCAGCTTGAACTGCACTGCTGTTTCAAGAGTTTATTCGGCAGTATTTGTACAGTGCTTGCACCTGGGTGTCGTGGCCGTGGCCTTAGGAGAGAAACCCCGCTGTGGGCACGAGCGAGGGAGCCTGAAAATGGTAGTTGCATTTCCTCAGCAGAGCACAGAACTCTCCATACATAACAGATGTTCTTAAGATACAGAACAAAACTCAGTTAATGAAACTTCACCCCACCCCTAGAGAGTATCTGCCCCTGCAGTGAGTGAGATCCACTGAAAGGATTATTATTTATTTTTAATTATTATTTATTAATATTATTTATTTATATTCTATTTTACTTTATGTTTTTTCACGTGATGCCTTGGTAAATGCTTCAACTTAAAGTTACCTTTGGTCACAAAAAATCCAATAGCAGAAAGCAATTTTTCCACTCCTCTTACTTACAGCCAACATCCACCCTGAGCTACCCATTCCCTTTTGTCTTTTCCTTTTATTCTGCAGTGCTGTGGCTCTTTTCCGTCTGCTATAAGACATGTAATTACTAGAGTCAGCTGGATTCCCCCTTTAGAGTGGAGGGAATCTTTCTCAAATCAGTAATGCCTTTTGAAATGGAAGAAACTTTTTAAATGCAGCTACTGTATGAATCTTTCATTAGATGCATTTCCGTTCCTCCACTGCTGGTAACACTTTCAGATGGGAAGTACAGTTCTTCACCTACTCTGCAAATATCTCCTGAAATTCACCACGCCGGGTGTCTCTTGGTAACCTTGCAGTGACCTGATTATCTGTTAGAACCACAAAGAATTCCGTCTCTAATTAGTCCATCTGTTAACTATTGAAATTCATGGCTTGGTTTTATTGTCTGGGTCTGTAACATAATGCTGAGCAGTCTCACCTGGCAGCTTATTTCTTATAAAGCACGTGTGCCTTTCCAAGAGCCATTTTAGTGCAGACAGCTCTCCCTTCTCCATGGGACAAATGACTCTGTCCAGGAGCCTGCAGTCCCCTTCATGCCCCTGCAGAAATAAATTGTACATCTCCAATTGCTCTGGGCTCAACTCAGTACTACTTAACATGTGAATGTCTTGGTTATATTCTTTAGAGTTACACCGTAAGATGTAGCAGATGGGGAAATTTAATAATGATAAATGAGTTTACTGTTTTCACACGGTCTTAAAAAACAGTGAACACTCTTTATTAAAGATTAGAAGGATTTTTATGTATTTGCCAAAGTGTGATTAGAGCTCTAACTCAGATCCTCAGAAAGTCTTGCTTTTAAATCCTTTTTGGACTGTTTGTTAATGAGGATTCAGAGGAATTAGGGGCCATAAATTTCTTCATTCTCACTTAAGTGAAGCCACAGAAGTGATTACTGGATGTCTAACTAAGTGGTAGGGAAGGAGTTGATTAACTGTGTTCACATGGAATGGCTCATCTTCGTGCTTCCTTGCAGCGGCTGTGCATCTCCTGTGTGATAAGACGTGGAGGCGGGGTGGAGCAGCCCATCGGTGGATGTTGGAAGGATGCAGACTCATAGCAATAGGCAGTTGGTCTCAGTGGGAGCGTTTGCACACTTTGCATCGTGTGCCTGAGTGTTTTTTTGGACCATACCCACTCTTATACAATTGGACACAGTCGTTGGCAGATGCATTTTGCACAGATGTAGCAGTGTTCACTTCTATGCATGCCGGGCTGTATGACAGGCTGGTCTCACTGGTGTGTGCCACTGCTTTCACACTCACCATCAGCGCCTGAATACAGATGCAGACAGTAGACGTTCCTGCAAACCTGCAGCCTGATTCTTTTCTCCTTGTTCTTGAGGCGAGTACATGGGATACCAAACTTCTGAACGCTGGAAAGCCCTCAGCGTGGTGTGGGAGCTGCGAGCTGCCGTGCAGCAGCCCGCCTAGCAGCAGCAGCACTGCTCTCAGACGCGTGGCCTCGGGCTGCAGCGCTGGGTGCCTGCCATTGCAGGGATTCTGCCAATCTGCTGGGTTGTTAGGAGTTTCTGGAGGGAAAAGTGGCCAACCCCCACCATCGCCCACGTGCAAACCCATATGTTTTGCGGACGTGTGTATGCTCCTGCTGCCAGCCTTCCCCACCGGGACAATGGGACCCTCCTCTCTTCGCTCCCCTTGTGGGTTTTAAATGGGACGCTCTGAAATAGAGTTGAGCTACGTTTATGGCGTGTTCGGCGTGGCCATCGTGTGGGAAAGTGATGTTTCTTGGGGAGTGCTGAAAAGGAAAAATGCTTCGAGTTCATTAACCTTTGGTACAGATAGCAGCGTCCTTTGGACAACACCAGAGCTATTCTTAGTCAGTGTTTACACGGTTGTTTGTTATTGTAAGGGAATACAGTAGTTCCCACTAGTGGCGAAAAGAGAGAACTTTTTTTTTTTTTTGGATTAACCTATATGTGAACTGTAGATGGAAAGATTTTGAATTCAGTCCTCGTGTTCCTATCCGTGCTATTTTGTCCTAATTTTCCCAAAAGCAACGTTTAGATGTATAGGTTGTTTCTTCACCCGCTAATTAAGTGTTATACAACTCTGCTCTGAAAAACTCAGCAACCCATTCTCTGTATTTGCAAATGAACTTTGCTGATTGTCATTATTGCTATAGGGTGCCTGCAGAAAATCCCATATCATTATGCCGTTGCATTGCCACAGCTCAAGAGCCGCAGTTAGTAATGTGATTTACACTTCTTTGCCATTAATAATATGGAAAAATCAACGTTATTTTCTTGATGATGTTTAGGAAGAATTAGAATGAGGTGGACATGATTAGGAAAGAGACTTTAATGTTAATGACTTGTTAATGCGATCGCCCTGAGCTAGACATCAGAATGATTGTCCCTGCACTAAACTCGTTTGCTTCAGTAAGCACAGACCCTCTGCACGCAACAAGACAAGTTGGGAGGAAATTGGATAGATGGCAGGGATTGTGGTGGTATGAACATTGCGGTGTCTTTCATGTGCAGAGTACACAAACTGAATCCCTGCACTTTCAAATATTCCCCTAGAGGCAATCTGCATTATTCAGAGCTTAACTGTGGCTACAGAATACTGTCTGACATGAAAGCAGAATGCTAGCTTTACATGAACTCTCATATTTACATCTGTAGTAAATCATATTTACTTTTTTTTCCTCCCCTCCCTCTTTTTCTGTGGGAGAGGGAGTAAAATGGGTAGGAGGGAAGGGGGAGGAGGAGAGTTGTCCAGCAGGATTGTAAGCAAAGCGCCAGTAATAAAGTCTAGTCTTATGAGACTGCCCATGAATAGGAATGATAATGAGGCCAGTGATGAGCTGCAGGTTTGCGTCTTTTAGTAAATTATCTCGCAGGCATTTACATTTCATCAATTGTGCTTTCGCATAATAGGCCGAAGAGCTGCAACAAAAGGAGGTACCATAAAAATGAGTAATTTCAGTGACCTTCTTGGTAATCGCCCTTACAAAGAATATCCAGGAAGGTGCTGGGTCGTTCCTCATGGCAAAGCTGCCGTGGAAAGGCACCCCGGGCCCACAGAGCCCGCCTGGTGATAAATGTCTTGCAGTGCTTTCTTTTGGCCACCCTGAAACATGGCTCGTATCCTGTTTTCTCCATCTGAGCATGCCTCTAATTGTCAGATGTCAAAAGGCAACAACCATTTTCTTCTTGCTTATCTCCTGATAACATTGATTCTCAAACAAAGGATGTGGGCTTCCATTCTGAAAACAAAGGAAGCACGGCCTAGCTAAGGATGCTGAATATAACATACGTACTTCTCCCTGCCAATAATAACAAAACATCATAAATAATGTAGAGGCTGGATGTGAAAACGGAGAACGGGGATGTACTGGTGCTGCCGTGCCGGGGCATGGCACTTACAGGATCACTTGCTTTCTTGTCCTTGATGAGGCCTTGATGTCTTCCCTTCTTGTTCTCTTATATTTCCCTGACAACTGGCCAGCTTTTCAGATATTTTACCTTTTTTTTTTTTTTTTTTTTTAAATTCTTCTGCCCTTTGGAGTTGTGTCTTCATGGTCTTTTTCCGCTATTTTTTTTTCTCGTTCCCCACAGTGCTCTTTCTTTAAAGGCAAGTCCTCAGCTGGTAGAAGCCAATACAGCCAGGAATCGAGACAGCTGTTTAGTACCTGGCCACGATCTGACGCTGTGTTTTTGTATGTTCTCTCCTTTCACAGTTAGCTCTCTCCTTCATTGTCCCGCCACAGAACCCACAGGAAGCATTTCAGTTCAGGTCCAGCTCTTCCTTGTCTTTCTGGGTCTCTGATCTGTTATTTCCTTTTCCATTCTTCAGCCTTTGGTTTTCTGTTTTCTGTTACTGTAGGTTTCTTCTTTATATCCGTTTGCCAAGTCCTACCTGATACAACTTTTCTTTCCTTATGTCTTTCAGTGTAACAGTTGGGGAACTGGTGGGAAATGTGATGCTTTACTCACATCCCTTCTGTCAGCCAGGCAGCCATGTGACTCCAGTAATCGTAGTGAATCAGCCCCGTAGCCCTGGGCTAGGCACAAAGAATTCTGGATTCATCTTTTGCTTCCCTCGTTTCTTCTTGTGCTGACCCCCGAGCAGTCACCTGACGCTTGCTGTCACACTGTGCCATGTGGGTCCATGTGAACCCACAAGGTGCTTGGCATGGAACAGACGAAGACCAGAGAAGAGGGCATTAGCAGAGAAGAGAAAGGCTTCTGTTGTTGTCTCCCTGATGAGATTAATTTTCTTTTTTTCATTTTCTTGGCAGGATCAGAATCCTGGACTTGTTGCCAGACTTCAGGAGCCGGGCTCCGTCCCAAGCGGAGGCTCTGTGCCGGCACCAGCCACGGTGAATGGGTACACAATGAGGAACCATTTACTGAAGCAGCAAATAATGAAACGACAGCTGATGCAGGTACAGTGCTGAGTGCTTCTGTGGGTTCCTGTGCCATCCACCTCACCAGAAGGACAGGACTAACTGGAATGGGAAAATCACCAGTCAGCAAACACTGAGAAGTGACCTAGGAATTGCTGGGTTGAGTCAAACTAGGGCTGTGGTGCATCCAGGCTGTTATCCCTAAAAGAGGCCAGGGCCAAGTGCTGCTCAACAAGCCTGAGTTCAGCTCTACCCATTCATGTGCGAGGAAAGAATTCAGTCACCTCTGTATCACTGCTGTCATCTTGGTCAGCCTCAGAGCTGGGAGGAAAGATGCTGAAAAGGGAGGCTTGAAGTATGAGGCAGGCCCAGGAGAGATGTCCTTCTCTTTCTCTTTGGTTCTTTGGAGATCTCCCAGAGTAGATGATAAATCCATTTCTACTGGACTTGGCTGTCCTCACTGGGGACAGAAGTCCCAGTGCAAGGCTTGAAACATGCTATGTGAAGGAGCAAGGGTGAGGGAAGCTCACAGGGGGCTGTGTGAGGCAGCATTGAGTTGCATCTCTGGCTTTCTGAGCTGGGTTTGTGGCAAGCAGGCTCATTTCTTTGCATGGGAAATTATGTGAGAAGCAGTTTGGTAAATCTCTTAACTATCCTGTTCACTGATGAAATTCCTTTCGAAAAACAACTGTACCTCATTGTCATCAGTTGGCTTCAAGCTTATCTGAGCTGCTCTGGCACAACAAAAGTTCAGCAAGGCCTCAGCTCGCACCATCCGTAGAAAATTCCCAGAGTCACAGCTGTCCACAGCAGGGACACGAGTGTGGTGGTGGGTTCTGGGGTCAAACAGTTGGGGAGATAATTCAGGTCACTTGGACAAAGCCAGCCGTGCTTTGCTCAGGGAGCAGCTTCTGGGATACAAGGCTTCCTGTGGTTCACTGCTGTGTTCTGGTGAGGAATGGCAACTGGCACCACAGCCAGTACACGTGAGAGAGCTGTCCTCCACGCAGGGTCTTGGCCACCAGCAGTCTCCTGTTTGGCGTCGTCCCCCTGAAATGCTGCCGCAGATTCTGTTCACTCCTAGACTCTTGGGCACCTTTTGTCCCCAGGTCAGGTACTCCCAAGAACACATGCAAACAGTCAGCCCAAGAGGCACTGGGGAGACACCAGGATTTCTCCAGTCTCTGGCAGCACCATACTTCACTCATAAGCTGGTGAACATGAGGGTCTGCGTGTTTGTCCAGCTCCCCCTTGGCCTTGGGCTGCCTGCACAGCATCTGCTACAGTCTGCACTTCCAAATGCTAGGCTGTTGTAAGGACACCTCCACGGGAAGGGGCATGTGAGCAATTAAGATCTGCTCTGAAATGAACAGTCTGGGCCGAGGGATGTGTGTGTACTGGAAAGGTCATTAGAGATGACAATTGCTGCACTTCGAATGTCTGCTGCCATTCCTGTTTGTCAAGAAACTGCAACTTGACTGTTATTCCCCTTGTTTTCCAGGAAAAGCAGAGACAAAACATGCTGGGAGTAACATCTGAGCAGAGGAATTTGTTTGCAGCTCAACAGATCAATCAGTTTCAAGGTAAGGGGGGAAGTGGCATGCTTTGCAAAGCTTCAAGGAGCCAGAGCCTAGGATCTGATTAAATACTCAATGTTTAATCGTTCTCCACGTTTCCCATAAAAGTATTTCCCATTTTATCATATATCATGAGATTTGCCCACCTCCTTATTGCTTCAGTAACAACTCGTTACAAAGCACACAGAGCCCAGGTGGTAAAAGCTACGTATGGAGAAGCAGCCTTTAGGGATGTGCCTTGTTTTCGGGGTGGAGGTGTGCTCACCAGCTAACGTGTCTCTCTGTGTGCAGCTGTGCAGCAGCCCATTCCCGCTGACTGCAGCCAGCCAATGCCAGCCCCTCCGCCCAACCACCACATGCTGCCGTCGAACCCAGCCATGCTCCAGAGCACTTTGGGCGCCAGCATTACCCCAGTCACTGCCAGCCAGAGCAGCGGAACGATGGTGATGATTCCACACAACCCTGGCAAACAGCAGGCGGTTTTCCCACCTAATTCCGACTTTAACATCCCGCTGCGGCCGAGCCAGAACTCACTGGCCATGAACTCAGGGTGCCAAACCGTACACAGCCACGCAGCGGTGCAGCCAGGCATGCCGATGGCTGGCTTTAATTCTGGCTCCTTGGTGAATCACTCAGCAGCTCAGCAGCACTTGAGACAGCCGAGCGTGCCAAGAATCCCCAACGTCTATCCCAGCTCCTCTGCCCAGATGTGGACGCCGAATGCGGTACCAAGAATGCCAAATCAAAGCCAAATGGATACCAGCATGCAGCAGTTCTCCAGTAACGCTCTTTTCTCCAAACAGAACGTGCGACCAAACGCATCGGGTCAGCAGTTTTCCCAGCAGGCTGTAGTGCCACCTAATCAGATTGCTCCCGGAGTCCAGGTCAGACAGATGCAAAAACTAAGCATGGGACAGTCTGGCCAGGGCTTGAGCTCAATGAGTAATCAGAACTTGAGACATAATTTAACCAGGGGACCGCTGCCAGCTATGAATGTTATGAAATCGATTCCACAGGGAGTGTCCAGCTTTAACCAGCTCAATCCCCCCGCAGGCCTCGGCCCACCAAGCTACCCCACTGCGGGGCAGCCGCCTGACGCCTTCAGCAGGATGAGCGCAGCTGCCGAGCTGCCGCAGTATGACTTCGTGCCCCAGCACAGCAGCAACGTCCTGCCCGCTAACTGCAGTGACACTGACTTCCTCGACTCGCTCATGAAGAGCAGCAGCAGCAACGACGAAGAGTGGTTGAACAATCTGACCATGATAGATGACATTTTGGGACAGCACGCTCAGAGCTCCGGACACGTGTAGCTTGGAGGGCAGCAATGGCTTTGTAAATACCGTACGTGTGACTTTTAAATGCGGCTCGTGGCCCGTGAGAGCTGCCACTTCTTTCAGTACAGAATGAATAGACTCCGCCAATCCTTTGCCTGCATCAAAGTTTAATATTGGCAGTTTTTCATATCAGTGTATATATTTGAATATTTTGTAAATTATGTTTTCCTAAACCTTAAATGTAGAAGTATTTATACTTCTTTGCTGGTCTGTTTGTAAATAAATCTATAGCATAACTTTTGGTTTTATTATAGGGATTTCATTATACCTTGTTATAAATATGCAAATAATATTGTTAGTTTCAGTAATACTGTGTATTACAGCATAAAATACTTATGTTTTTGACATAACTTAACACATGAACTAGGGGTGTTGTTGCAACCAGACTATGCAGAAACCAAGAGTGGCATCTGTTCTCCCGCATCAAGAGAAAAGATCGAAAAGTTGCATTAAAAACCAACCAATACATGCGAAAGGAACTGCTGATTGACTCATAGCTCAATCCTGCAGCCTGAGAGCGGGGTGTGGGTCCGCCCGGGGCCCCCAGCACAGTCAGGAACCTGCCGGCAGGGATCCGCTGCAGGATCAGGGGAAGTCCTCCACCCGGTGCACTCCGGTATGCTGACATGACACCGGCAGGGCACCTCCCGTCGTCCTGCAGTGAGGGTGCGCTTGTGATGTTGCAGCTGTTGACAGAGGTGTGTGTGTGTGTGTGTGTGTGTGTGTGTGTGTGTGTGTGAGTGTGTGTGTGTTTGTGTGTGAGTGTCTGTGCACCGCAGCCAGCTGGGGGCCAGCATGCGGTGACGCGGGTAAGGCGACGATGGCGGTCTGACATCGCCAAGGTTCCCTGGTCCTTCGGTTCTGGTTTGCACACCTCTGCCGTGTATTTTTGTAGCGTACAGGTGATTTGTTCCTGGTTTTAAGGCTTTTCATAATTTCTGTTTTAATGTGAGACTTTTTTCAGGGGAAAAGTCTATAAACATGAATAGTTAATTTTTGATGTTTTTCTGTCAGCTACTATACTGTCCTATGTATATTTAAGAGTCTGTTTATAAAAGATTCGCTGTACTGTAAACTTAAAATGTTCATACTTTGTGTAATCATATTTTAATAGTCACATCATACTTCGCAATACATTTGTAATATAACGTCAGCTTCAAGCACAGAATGTTTTTTTCTTCATACCATAATAAACTGCCGGGGGAAAATTGTGTATATTTTATGTGCTCATTTCTTAGCTACAACATTCTGTACCTGCCAATATTTGAATTAATGTGATTTTCCCCAGATGCTATAACGTCACTTTAGTTATGTGCACAAATGTGTGTGTTTAACAACCTGAAGAGAACGCGCAGATAGCATCTAGAACCGTCTCATCTAACAGAAGCAGTGGCCACCCCAGATTTCCAGGGCTGGTGGGGGAATGTGAGCAAGGCTGCCCTCCATCCCTCGCGTGCTGGAGGACGTCACTGGGGGATTTTGCTCACGTTATCCATGCTGGAGGGGGGTGCTGGGTGAGGTCAGCCCAGCCTGTGCGAGCCTTTCCTCTCCAGAACCTTTTCCTCCAGAGCCAGAGGCAGGAAGGAGCTCCTGAAGCCGCAAGTGAGAGGAGGCAGTCAGGGCTGGAGGTCGGGCAGGAGCGCACTGCTGGTCTGCTCCCAAACAGCCCGGTGCCACCAGGGGTGCTGGTGTGTGTGAAAGCAGGGCAAGGATGGGAGAAGCCATTTTTTCAAGCAAAAGAAATTGGGCTCACCAAACAATTGCCCAAATTAGGCTATAAAGCCAGCGAGGCTATGAATGAGAAAGAAATGCCTGCCTGCTTGCAGACAGAAGTGAGGGGATGAATGCCTCTGAATAAGTCTGTGACGGGACAAAGGTGAGTTTGTTTGGCCATGGAACTTGGCAGTGCTTCAGCAACTTTTCTGCTGTGAGCCATGCCCTGCTCTGAGCGTGGGGCTGGAGCAGGCAGGGGGATGGGAGGACTGCTGCCCACAGGCATTTCTTTAGGATAGTAATAAATACAACAAAAACAGCCTATTTTCATTCCTCAGTTTGTTTTTGGCAGTGAACCTTTCAGTTGTGCAGAGCTTAGGTAACAGACGCTGGGTGGGAATGTCTTCTGAAGCCAACTCTTTCCCACTGAGTTTATGAACCACTGTTTATCTTGTACCTGAGTTGTGCACCCACTTGTTTGCACTCTTTTTTGTCTGGTGTTGGAGCTGACAGAGCTCCTCTACTCTCCATCTCAGGCCCTTGTGTCTCAGCAGGGTGCTGTGAGGAGTCACAGCTGTGCCACACTCTGCATGTAAGTGCTGTGTGATTATCTCTGTGGTGTCTCTGTGGGTGATGGATCTCAGTGTACCTTTTGGGACTGGCCCATGACCTCAATGGCCTGTGCCCTGCCTGGCTGCTCTTCTCCTGTGTGCCTCCATGTGCAGGCTGACCGTGGGGAACCTCAGCAGCTGCAGTACAAGCCCTGAACCTCTGATCCGCAGCAGTCTGTAACAGGCAATGCTTCCATCACAATGAGTTGTCTGCTTTTATCCTGCAAAAAGTACCTTTGTACTTTGCCATCCCCTTTTCTTCTCTTGTTCAAGTGTGAAAATGCCCAAAGTCTGTTCCTTCCTTTGCTTCCATGCTCCATATCACTAAGGCCAGTAGGTGCAGCATTAAGGCAGTAAGGCTAAGCACATCTGCAGAGTCCCCCTGTTGTGCTGCAGCAGCAGAGCACAGCCGGGGACACAGTCAGCTCAGCCTGCAGCCCAGGCCCACTGTATTTGCTGCTGTGGAAGCGTAGAATGGGTTTAGATTTCTAAAATAGCTACAGGAATGAAGTGTCCTCTGTTGAAAGCTGTCATTTATTTCCCAAACAAGCTATGTCACCAGGCTGCCCTCATAATTACAGCCATGAAAACAGAGGCAAAGCACTAAGCTTTTTCCTCTTGGGCTCTAACATAACATCAAATACCTATAAAGGCCAGAATTTCCACAGTCTTGAGCTCACTAAGAGCTCATTTGTCTGAAAGGTTAGTGGCACAGGTTAAGTCAGACTTTAAATTCTGTACTTATTATGGAAAAATTCTCCTTGTGGATTGTATTAATCTAAGCCAGCCCATTTGCCACAAAGGCAAAACAGAAAAACACACTCATTCCTATAAAAAGAAGCATCCAGAGAGCTCCTAGGAGCAGAAGCCATGGGAGCCCATCAGGCAGTTTCCCTGGCAGCCCAGCCCTGACTTACGCAGAACCTGAGCCGTGCTGCACGGTGGCTCTCCAGGATTGATTACATGTCTTGCTTAAGAAGCTTTCAACAAAGGAAGCCGTGCTGATGCTGAAGTGTAAGGTCAAGTTCTCCTCTCATGTAGGATGTTGTAAATCAGAAGCCACTCCACTGCCTGCAGCAGGGCAACCCCTGATTTACACCAGTCCGGGAGCTGGGACGAGCACCTGGCAGGGGCTGGCACTGTGTTGGTGCCACAGATGTGCCCATACCCGATGGAGGGGCCTGGCGCGGTGCCCAGCGCAGGGAAGGCAGGCATGGGGTGACACAGCCTGCTGTGCGTGCTGTGCAGGTGGCACAGCCCCACAGGGACACTTGTTCCTGCCACATCTACCCGCCCTCCTATGTGAGCTGAGCTCAGGTTTTGGTTCAGCTTCAGCTTCTGTTCCCTGCTATATATAGATAGCAAATTTGAAAAATGTGACTAAGAGTCTGAAAGAGGGCAGTATGTTTTAAATGCCAATAAGGATCTCTCCGAGGCGAGGTAAAACCCAAGTACCAGTTGGCAGCTGCAGGAGTTACGGAGAACTGAAGGCTCTGTCTGGTCAAGGGGCCTCCTGTGTACAATCCTGAGCAGAGCCAGGGAAAGGCACCTGACTGAAGATATCTTCCTTGAACAGGAGAGCTGCAGTTAATCACAGACATTTGCTGTGCTCTCTCTCTGGTCGCTCAATGGGTTTTGTAGCACAGCTCAGAACAAATACGCTGTTTTATGCACGTCTTAATCCATTTCCCATTATGCAGCAGGTCTGGGTCTGGCTTCCATCCCTGCTCTGCCCAAGGCAGCCATTTGCCTAGTACAGGTTTGTGTTGCCCATGTGCCCTCTGTGGGGCCAAACAGTACATGGTCACATGTGTGGTGAGGACATGGAGCCACACTTCTTTGCTCTTCTGTACTCAGGAAGTAAAAGCAATTAGATTTTTTTTCTTATTCTGGAGGTTGGCAGGGCAGTGTCTGCGTTGCATCACAGCTGTGCGTCCATTAAAATAACCAGAGCTGTGGTAATGATGTGCCCACAAAGGGCCCTGTGCTGCGTGGCAGAGCCCTGCTGCCAGCCTCGCGTGTATCAGAGCCTCAGAGCAGGGAAGATCTCCTGGGCTGGGTGCTTCCCGTGCCTTCTGTCCTTATCAAGGTGTATAATGCTGCAACTAGATGTCTGAGATTTAAGTAATTTGTTAGAATGGAAGGAAGGAAGGAAGGGAGGAAGGAAGGGAGGAAGGAAAAGAAAGAAAGAAAGAATGATCACTTTAAGTTCAAAGTTGGATTTGTATCAAAAAAGGGTGCTATGCTTTGGTTGTTCTGATGTTGCCTTAATCTACTTTCAAGGAGCAAAGGCAGCGGGGTTCTGCCCCAGCTTGGTTTTACATCCCAGCCATGCTGCCTTTGATGAATGGCGGGGACAGACAAGACGGGGCCGCAGCAGGGGGCTGAGGCAGCCTATTTTCACTCCCTTAGGGCAAATCAGCCCTAAACTATGAAGTTGTGAGATCTCTTTTTTCTTTGCTACTATAGTGCTGTGCTTGACTCCATCCAGCTGCAGAAACACACTTTGTTTCCAGTTCACACACTGCTCCTTGTCATCCCTGCCTGCTTTGTATGGCAGCAGAGGAAACAGAATTAACTCGCAGACCAGGGCCTGTGCTCCCTTCCTCTTCTCAGCCCATAAATTCTTATTCTCTCTCACCTATTAGCTGGCTGCACTGTTTGTCTAGGCGGCTCCCATTAACCCCCTGTTTAAGTCTCACAATCTTTTATAAATATATATATTTCCCTGTGCCCTTTCGGGAGATTATGATGTGCACTTAGCAGTGGGGGACTGTGAAGCACAAAAGGCTAAGGACTCAAATCCCAAAGATGTTTAAGTACCTAATGAGGCAGACAGACACCGGCAGGATTTTTCATGTGTAGTTAAGCAGAACTGGTAGCCATGTCTCGTGGCCAGTGGTCTGTATCACCCTCGGCTGCTGTGCGCACGCCCGGACTTGGTTTCACAGAGTGCAGAGGATTAGCTGGTTGTTTCAGTACAGCCTGTAGCAGCCAAAATCTGACCGTGAGTCAGGTTCCTTGGTGTCTTCATTTTCCAACCTCAAAGCCAGTTGGCTCATCCTGGCCAGGAAGAGAGTGCAGCCCAACAGGTAGACAGTGGAGGGTGAGCTACTGGTTTCCCTGACCTGCACAAGTTCTTCTCTTTGCTCATCGCCTGCCTCCCAGCAGCCTGGGATGCGGCACTCCTCTCCCTTCCAGAGGGGCATGGGTGTAAGCCTGAGTGTTTCATTCCTCTTGGCCAACATTCCTGCCAACAATCTCCCTCAAAGTGCCACCTCTGTGTCTTGAAGAGTGAGTGTTGTCTTATTTCCACTTCAAACCTACAGATCTTTGCTGAAGTTTTTGGTTTACAATTTTCCATGAGATGCCTCTTTGTATGCCTACATTTCCAGGCACTATAACGTGCTAAGCCACACGTGGATCTACCAATACAGGTGTACCTTTTGCCAGCACTATCCAGTTCACAGGGATATGTAAATGCAGGCATCTCCATGATTGACTGGTTTAAAAGCTCAAATGCCTGATACCTCTTGAGCTCCTTATGGATGGCTAATGTTCCCAAGAGTTTAGCAAGACACCATCTGCAATCACGCTTGGCCTTGCATAAAATCAGACAGGGAGGCTCTTTTTGTCTTATTGCACTTTGAGCTCTGATCCCAGAATAATGTTTTCATTTTAATTGTCTGTTATCCCTGGTGTCAGCATCCACAATAAGCTTGAAAAGAGTTTTGCCTCTGGCTGTGGCTGTAGTGATAGCTGTAGTACCTCTTGTCCATATCCCTCAAACGTAAACTGTAAGCTATTCTACAGAGAAAATATATTCTCTATGTGTTTTATGCAGTGCCCAACACTATGAGACCCTGGTCTCTAGATGCTGCCATAG